ATTTTTTACAAATAAGGATATAACTTTTTAAACTTTTTTTAGTTAGGGATATGATTTTTTTTTTTGCTTATTAATCAAGTATATTATCTTTAAAAATTTTCTAATTAAAAATATAATCTTTGTAATTTTATTAAAAAAACTATAAGTATCTTTAATTAAAAACTTTAGAAGGTGTTATACTTGATTAGTTAAAAAAAGTTAATTTAAAGAAGTTTTTAAAATTGTATCATTACTTGTACAAAATCAGCTTCTACTATTTTCTTGCACACTTTTTTATTCTTCCTATTTTGGTCCAACTATTGCCACATCAAGTGGAGAAAGAGAGATATGCATGTGATGGGTAAAAGAGGAGGGGGCAGGTGCTTGGCGTGAGCAAGGATGGAAACAAAGAAGCAATGCTTTTGTTTTGCGTTTTTGTGGGGCTTTGCCTTCGGTGCGCGCATTGAGAGACGGGTCTCATTTTACTTGCCCCTTTTTATTATTAGGTATCAAGATTTACCAAATTCCTAATAATTAACTAAAAACATTGGCATATTTGGTAAAAGGACAAGGTTTTACTTGCTCTCTTTCAAGGTAAAATATTGTAAATCGAGTTTCATTTCTAAAGGAGGTCACCCAAGTTCAATGTAAAAGTAATTTTTTAAAAAAAATTGTTAACTTATCATAGAAATGCAATTCAAACTTAATTTTTCTTAAATTTAATAGAATTATTTAGATTTTTTTTTTTGTTGGAATAGAGAGGAAAGATGAAGGAAGCCGTTTGGTAAGAGGAGCGAGGGGGGCACCTACGCTTCCATCCTTAATGCCTTTACGCCTTGTTTGCGGGTTAAATTGTTTTTATTGTTTTTGTTCTTATTATTAAATTCTTTGTTAGGAAACTGCATCTGCCCTGCAGGTACTGACCATTACTCTCTTTCTTTTTCTTTGAAATTTTCTTTTATTTTCTTTTTCTTTCCCATGATTTGGAATTTGGGTTATTTGGTAATTTAGAGATTACTGTCCTTTTTATTTTTTTTATAATCTCTCTTTCCATCTTTCTTTGTTTTCTCATTTTTTCTCATTTTATCCTTCAAAGCCTTCTTTCTTCCTCACATTGCTCTGGTGGGCGTTGTTTGTTTGGTCTCCTCTTCTTTTTCTCTCTTTCTTTGATCGAGAAAGAGAGAACATTGGGCTGTTTCTTCACCGATTTCTTTGATTTTCTCTTCTGGGTTCTCTTAGATCCATCGGCCTCTTTCATTTCCGTCCGGTAGGTGAGCTTCTTGGATTCATTTACCTTTTTATTTGTTGTTAGCTTGATCGATGGAGGTGATGGGTTATGGAGGATATTATTATGTTTGATTTTTATTTTTATTTTTCTGATTTTTTTGGCTGTTTGGTTGCAATGGGTACTCTTGTTTTTCTTAGATTTTCTTTACTTTTGCTTTTTATGTTTTGGATTTCTGAATCAAGCTTGTAACTTTGAGACCTTTCTTGTTTGTGTGATGAGATAAAACTGTTTTTTGTTGGCTGTGTTTTTTACCTGCTGTTTGATTATTCAAAGCTACTTTTCATGACAGAAGCTGATTTGAACAGAGAGATTGCTCATGGTTATCTTGTTAGACATATGATTTTATATTGCATTTTGCATATGAGTTTTTTTTTTGGGATGTTGCTAAAGGTAAAATGAGGAATATCAAAATTTTAGACTGGAATTTTGTGTTGTTCTGTATGGTTAACTGTGAAAGGTTTAAACTTTTAATTCTCTTGCATGGTTTTGGTCTCGAATTTGATTTCTTTTGCCACTGGTTGCGCTCTGTGTAGTTTTGATTGCCTCAATTCTCCATTAGCCAGATTCAATTGTTATGTGCTAGTGCCTGTGATTTTAGGTTTTGTTGAGCAGAGTTTAATGGCTTTTTAATGTTCAGAAAGGTCTGAGTGCCTTGTATACTGAGAGTAACATTCGGATGCCTGCTTGACCTAGCTGCAAGCAATACTTTGGTGATCTTTGTTAATGGAAATGTGATGCTTAAATGGCTAACTTTTGATTTGTATGATTGGTTAATTTTTTATTTTTAGCTGCATTTCTATTGTTGCAGTTTTATAAGGTGTTTGTTTTCTACACATCTAGTGTTCTCCTCTATTTTGCAAGATAAAATAATTCATGCCTTTTATGTTTTTAAAACCATAAAACCAACAACATTCTTCATACCATCACAAAGAATTTCTTCAAATATGAAGTGTCTGTGTGATGTTAAATTCTACCATGTTGAATGCCATATTCTAGTGAGGTTTGATTTAGGTTTGGTATGGTATGGTATGGCAGTACCTTCTTGAAATGCTCTTTGAATTCGTAGTATAATGTTCCTCTAATGTTTTGCTGGGACTGGTGTGATTGATATTTGTGTTGGAATTTTTTCAGGACTTCATTGTAAGTTATAAGGGAAATTCATAGAAGCCCTAATGCAGGGGCAGAGGGGTTCTATTGGTTCCTTGCCTGAGACCTTGAACTTTGACCATGGGTCTACATCAAGTAATGCTGCTATAGATCAGCAGCTGTGCTGGAGTAATATTCGAAATCCTCTAGAAAATCGATTACCAGATTGTATGATGTCAACTAATGAGGCAAATATTACATATGTGAATTCTTATAGCCAGGAGCCACAAAACCTTGGCAGATGGAGCCTAGGTGAACCCAGCTCTAGTGGTGCACAGAATGAGGTAAATCATGGTGAACATAAAACAGATAATGGATGGTCTTCTTCCATGGGTTCTTGTGCCAATGGTGGTCCAAGGATTGAAGAAAGTCAGTACGAACAAAACCCTCTTTTTGTCCTAAGTTCCAATTCTAGCCCAATTCCCCAAAATCTGAACCTAAATGCTGGTTTGATGGGTTGTGGCGATTATAATTGTCGAGCTACAGAACATTCTAATCTAAGCAAGTCTAGTGGATCTGAGAATGAGCGGATTCCATCTGCTTCTGGTCCCGAATCGTTTCTACTTCCTTCTGGAAGTGGTGGATACTCTGGGGAAGGCTGTGATGACAGGCCAGGTTCTTCATTTGAGGGCCGCCGTGCTTCCCGCAAAAGAAAGGCTCTAGAAGGAACTGTTGGGCAGTCCTCCATGAGTGGAAGTTCTAGCTATGGGCAATGTGCTGAAGGTAGTGCATGGCCCTCTGTTCCTGCTTATACTATTGCTGGGAGCAGTTTAAATATATCTACCCCATCAGAACAGGTAAATCCAAGACTTGGATTAGGTGTAAGAGGATCGGCTTCTTATAACAGTCCTGATCCAGTTGTGATGTCTAGTCCAGAGAGCTCCCATAGAAATTTTCGTATGAGAATAGATCGTTCAAATCAACAAGAATCCATAACCCCCACATTGTTTCCCACAGGCAACACTGCCAGGCATTCATTTGTTTCATCTTCCCATCAGCTTTCAAGATTTCTTCCAGTTGATCATTCTTTGGATTTGAGGTCCACACCAGTGGTAGATAATGTAAGTCCCCAAAATCAGAATATTGTATTTCATGGTCCAAATCTGCCACCAAATGTGCAGCCATTTAGGTGGAATGGAAGTTCTGCACCAAGGGCTTCTAGTTCATCAAATTCTAATGTCTCTGGAGATAGAGATGCTGTGCCACGTGAAGAACCAAGGTCAAGAAGCATCACTAGAAACATATTGGATCATCCTCTGTTTATTCCTGCTCCAGAGTTGAGAGATTTGGCTCGAATCCGGACTAATCGAAGTTCAAGTGGTGGGAATTTAAGTGTTCCTGGAAACGTTGCTTCTACATCCCGCAATGTCTCAAGTTCAGGTGCCAACCAATCATCTGTTCCTAGCTTGGTTCCTCATTCTAATTCCTCTTCACACTATCCAAGGAGATTGACTGAACTTGTTCGTCGATCATTGTTATCTACCCTTGATTCTGAACCTGGAGGCCAGAGCAGTAATCATTCTCCTCATCCCTCTGGACCTTCTGCTTCCCCAGAGGAGATGATGCTTTCAGCTGGAGTTGTTAACCCAGGTCATCACCCAGGTCATCATCGATTGTACCCGAGGTCAGTGTCATGGTTGGAGAGACAAGGTGATACTGTACTCGGCATTCCCCATCCTTTACGAACTTTGGCTGCTGCCAGCGAAGGAAGAAGCAGGCTTTTTGTGTCTGAGGTGTGTCTTAGAACCTATATTTTTAGTTATAATGGAATTATCACTCTTTATGTTGACATAGGTATTCACTACATCATATTGATCCAATCCTTACAGTCAGTTTCATTGTTTAGTTTTCCTTCTATGTTTATGACTTATTTTCAACAATCAATTGTCTTGACAAAGTGGCAGTTTAGCCAATGCTTATAATATTTTGCTTTTGTGGAGCAGATTCGCAATGTCTTGGATCTCATGCGTAGGGGTGAGGGCTTACGTTTTGAGGTAAGTTTCAATGGTGTCAATATGAAACCTTATTAGTAGAGTTCTATCTTGTAAAATGGAACCATGAGAGGGAAAAAAATGGTTGTTGAATGTTGATTTATCTGTTTCTTCTTGCTTAGTCAATATAGATAGGAGCTATATTTCTTGTTTGTGCTTTCATGGATCGAAAGTGGATGCACAAATTTGAAACTGATAATCCTTAGCAGATAGGGACTTATTTCATGCTGAGTGAATAAATGGTCTGACATTTTAGTTTTGTGCTGCTTGTATTGCAGGATGTTATGATCCTTGATCATTCAGGATTTTTAGGGGTGGCTGATATTCATGATAGGCATAGGGATATGCGCCTTGATGTTGATAACATGTCATATGAGGTAACACATATATGTATATTGTTAACTTCTACTTCCCCTTTTGTGCTCGCAAAATTTTATAACAGTGATGTTTTGTGTTTTACAGGAGTTATTGGCTCTGGAAGAGCGAATCGGTAATGTGAGCACAGGATTGAACGAGGAAACTGTACTAAAGCATCTGAAACAACAAAAATGCTCTATTACTCCTAGAACGGAGGGGGAGACAGAACCATGTTGTATTTGTCAGGTAATGAACTTATTTTGCCTTGTTGCTTACCTCTCTGTGTGGATGGTTTACTAAAATGGTTGTGTATAATGAACAGGAAGAGTATAACGACGGGGAAGATCTCGGAACTCTCGAATGTGGACATGATTTTCACAGGGATTGCATTAAACAATGGCTGATGCACAAAAATTTGTGCCCCATCTGTAAAACAACAGGTCTGACTACATGAGTATGGTTTTCAAGCACTTTGTTCCTCAGCCCTGAGGAAGAGGGTTTTGGCCCTGAAAATTTGTTTCATTTTTTTCTTCTCAACGAGTCAAGTAAGTTGACCGGCAAGCCATGTGTACCATTTCGTTTCATGGCATCCCCTTTGGATCGGACAGTTGCATTTTTACTTGAGATTCTGGGGAACCAGAAAACATTCTGAGTCGATAATACAGGTGTTGGAAGCAACCAAGGAAAGAAAAGCTTGTTGTGTCCTTTTATTTTTTACACATTTAATTAATGAACAATTAGTTTACTCAGCCAATTGGCTTCTATATAGATTATTAAGGATTTCTTTACTTTTTTTATCTTCTGCTTTTAGTTTGTTTGGTTTGGGGCTATGTTTTATTTTATATTTGTATATCCAAGGGAGAGAAAAAGGTCCATTTTCCTTTTCTCTCTTTTCTTTCAAACTAAATAATTCCTCCTCCTTTTTTTCAAACTAAATAAGGTAAGATATTAATAAGAATTTAGTTTAATTAGTATTTATTAATTTAAAATTTTTAATTTAAAGCTGAAATTAAAATGTTAAAAATTTTGTAATGTTAAACAGTTAATTATTTGATATATATATAAAAAAAATAATGATTCACACTTTTTAATTTTAAAAACCAACTTCTCTCAGTAGAGATAAAGTTGGTGATTAAGTTTCAAGTTCCTTTATTTTTTTTCTTCTGATACCAAACCACACTTGATTTTTCGAAGAATTCTCGATGACAAAACTGGTCGAGTTGACAAGTTTTTCAGGATCTCACAAAATCAAAAGCCTGGAATCTCCTTGCATGTTCATAAATGTTTGGATAATTTGATCCAGCAATGTTCTAGATCTTCCTCAAGAAAAGACATACTCATTATCATTATCAAGCAATAAAACACATTCACAACATTTTCAATAAGTAGAATAGTTTTCTTACACTAAATAGTTTTTAATGATGGCACAAGCACAATGGAATATTATAATAATCTCAAACAAAATTAAAGGCATTTTCAATTGACTATTTGGGTATACTCTGAATGTGGCTCGCCTCCAGAGTCAAAAGACTCAATTATTTTATGGTAAATGTTTTATACTTTGGATTGAATTGGAATTCGCCTTTACACTTAAGATTTTTACCCATAAATTTTGGATTTAATTTTTTTTCTTCAATATATATACATATTAAAAATATTTTATAATTTAATATAAACTCAAATCATGAACCATTGACGCAGCAAATGATCATTTGATAGAGCATGAAATGGGTAAGAGAGTATTTCGAACGTAACAACATGGTGCTTGAGTCTGAATTTCTTAAGAGCACGTTGCATTTGCAGGGCAGAATTTCTAGAGAGGAGTGGGGGGGTTTGGTCGAGGATGACAGGACTGGTGGTTGTTTGGTGTTTCGGTGTGAATTCCCAAGAGTTGCTCAACACAACACGCCACTGAAAAGCAACCTCGGGAATTGCATTGTTTTAGATTGGGTTCCTTCCAATTATTTTATATCAGCTTTTTTATATTTAACAATTTCATTAAACCTCAACTCATTTAGAATTTAGAATTAAATCGTGTTTAATTTAATAATTTTTTTTAAATATTTATTTTTTTATTTATAGAATTCAAACAGATAATTTTACTTAAAAAATTATCAAATAAATCGTTGGTGGGTTTCTTTCAATTAATGCTCCTTAATTTTGGCCTTTTTAAACACACTCTTCACAATAATTGATTAAATATCACCGACGTCCCTACAATATTTCCCTATCTCGTTCCCATCCCATCATCCCATCATCCCATCCCAACTCCCCCAGCTGCCCCAAGCACAGCAGTCAAACCACGTTCAACTTTATTTATGATTATGTTCTCAAAAACACTTTGAAGATGATCTTAGGGTAAATTTCTTTGGAATTGAGAGTTGGGAACCAAACTCTTGAACTTTACCTTTAATTGTCGCACATGGATACATATTTATTTATTGTAGTCTAAATTATCTTAAATAAATTTTTAAGCTTATTTGACATAAAATTTTTTTTAAAATTACTCTTTAAAAAGTGTTACCTATTGTTTAGTATTTAAAATCTAAAGATATTATCTAGCATTTATCGACTAAAATTCACTTTAATGGATTGAATTATTTTTTATGAACTAAAGTGCACTTTTGCTAAGATATTTGCCTTTTTAAGGTCTAAGCTCTTAGAATAATTATGTTTAATCGATTGCATAAAAAGCAAGCAAGCTCTTAAATATTAAAGTTCATAGATAAGAAATATCTTTAATTATTTGAAGTTAAGATTGCTTATACATATATACTATCAACTATATAATTTAGTAGTAGAGTTATCTATACTTTTAGTCATTATAGTTAAGTTTAAATTCTAGTCTCTACAAATAAAAAGAAAAAAATCACTTATACATATGTATATAAGTCCCATATAAATGAGATTGTGAAAAATTAGGACCTAATAAAAATTAAAATAACAATAATGATAATAAAATATTTAAATATTTTTAATGAATCCAAATTTAAGAAAAATTCAAGAAAATTCATTAAGATAATTTAAGCAATTTCAAAAGTAATTTTAAAATTTATAATGATAAGAATTTGTACTTTTTTTTATAAAAATTATTATTCATATGTTTAAATCTAACTATTTGAGATATATTGCTAAATATTATTGTGTTTTTTTATACTAATTCTTTGATATCCAAAAGCCACATTGAATTCTAACTAATGCAAAATCAAATTGAGTTAGACTCTATAAGAATTCTCTGAACGTTTATTTCTCCATTCATAATAGTTAAACTTAAAATTTTAGTTAAGATGAATCAAATTTCTTTTACTTAAACTAACAAATCATTGGTCTAAATATTACAATGTTATTTCAGTAGTTAGATTTGAAAATTAACAGACTGATAGTAGTACATAATTTATGTAAAACTAGCCATCAAGTCATTTTTTGAAACAAATATTTAGCTTGTACGTGGAAACTGAAATAAACCTAAATTCGGGGTTGATAAGAAAAATAGAACAAATAAAGGGGTCAATGACGTCAAGAAAGAGAAAATGTTCGGTAATTAAGGCGGGAGATTAATCCAAAATCTGATTATGCTGCTTGGAAATTGAGCTTCACTTCCCTTCCTACCGACCGCCATCATCTCCGAAAAAATTCTGATTAAAACCTAAAAACTCAAAATAGTGTTTCTCGTAAAAACAAGGAAAAAGTCTACAACTACAGAGCTCGGAAAAAGAGTGCCAATCGCAATTCACCAGCGCCGTCATGCTGCCGGTTTACTGATTCTAATTATTCTTCCGATTCCTTCTGTTTTTCTTCTGATTTCTCTATTCCTTTCATGGCGGATCTGTACGGAACAGCTCCGCCGTCTAACGCTGAACCGGAGGAAATCTCCACATTCCTTAACCGGTTCCTCCAGAATTCTGCTTCGTCATCTTCGTATATGCATTTGAGGAACAGGTACATTCAGCCGCCATCGTCTGCCGCGCTGGATTCTTTACAGGCTTCGATTGATTGTGGCTCTGTAGTGGTAGTTCCGGGTGAGAATCGGTACCGGTTGGGCGGATCGGCGAGTGGACTTGAGATGGAGGCCAGACTGAGGGACGGAGGATCCGGTTTAAACTTCTCTGATCCTGAATCGTATTTTAGAGCTAACGATAGCGCTGAGAATGCGTTCTGCTCTCTTGGAGACTTAAGTTGCGAAGGCGAGGTAATTCTGATATCTAAATTGTTCCTGTAAATCCTGTTTGGTTGCTGGGAAAACGCTGAGGGAATGATAAATCTTCCTGAGAATATTATCTTCGGCGATCCTTTCCTCTAAACTGATGCTTAGATTATATTAATTTTACGAAAATTTTGAATTGTGAATTTGTTGTTACAACCTAGAAGGCTCCAGAGCGGTCGGTGTTACCGTCAAATGCAGAGCGGCCACGGTCTTCCTCGAAAAGGAGTAGAGCGGCTGAGGTCCATAATTTGTCAGAGAAGGTTTGAATTTTAAAGGAACTTTTTCGCCTTTCACTGGAATCTGTTTGATTTGTGTGGTTTATGCTTATCCGCGTGGTTTACTCTTGGGCAGAGGAGGAGGAGCAGGATTAATGAGAAAATGAAGGCCTTACAGAAACTAATTCCAAACTCTAACAAGGTACATAATCGCCAATTTTGCTAATTTTTCTTCATTAGTTCTTAATTTCTTCTTCAATCAAATGCTTAATTGTTTGATAGACGGATAAGGCTTCGATGCTGGATGAGGCCATTGAGTATTTGAAGCAGCTTCAACTTCAAGTTCAGGTCAGTGTTCTCTTATTTTGGTTTTTTTAATTTTTTTGGGGCAAAATTTTCCATTTTTTCTTTTCTTGTGTTGTCTTTTTCATATCTAGTGTTAATTTGACATGTTGAAATTTGCATTTTTAGTCGGAATGAAAAATGTTATAGAATTACAAAATATATGCCATTAACTTTCATGTCTTTTTTTGTAAAAGTTGAAATTTACAGTAACAAATTTTTCTGATTTTTCTAGAGCTAGAATTCACAGGGAATTTTCAAATTAGTTAATAGTAATTGTTTATAAATCTTTTTAACATTTTACAAATATTTTATATGTACAATAAGTGAATGCCAAATGATCTTGGCTGTTTGGCCTTGAACATGAATAAGTTATATTGATACCATCTATTATCACAAGAATATTTTTTGGTAAGTCTTTCTGCTTGTCTGGTTACAGACAAAAGATGCATTTAGGGATGGTTACCCTTTCTCAAATCCTTTCCCTCTATAGTTGGTGCCCATTCAAATATTGAACCTAAGACCTTCAATCTGGAAATTTCACAAACTGTTTATGACATTATTTGTTAAATTATGTCAGTATGTCACCAAAGTGGAATTTTGAATTTTTCTTGTTCTAGGATCCGAATAAGAATATAGTTTCTTTTGACGTCATATTTTGATTCCTGAGCTGTATTTTTTGTATTCTTCAAGCTATCTATATTCTGTTGTTACATACAGGTGAAAATTTCTCAGTCCAAGAATGTAATCTCAAATTATCACCATAGTTTCATTGTCAAAGAAAGCATTCTCTCCCCCTCTACAATGGCATTCCCCTTCAGCGTCCTCCTCGCCTTTTTCATTCCTTCTTTCGGAATCAGAATTCAAGCTCACACTAGACAGCAATAAAAAATCATGCCCTGATTTTGAAAAGATAGCTTCAACAAGATTCCTGTTACATGAAGCTGCATAACTAATCTAACACTTTCACATCTCTATAGAAAGAAATTTCTGCTTCACTTCAAGTTTTATTTTCTATAAAAATTTGCGATGTTGTGTTTAGAATCCCTCTACTGTTAATCAAGGCTGAATCTTTTTTGCCTGTATTCTTTCACTGCCATTTTGAGATTGTTAATGCCGCTGATTTTCCTGTAATTCTTTTATCCCATCTGCCCTGTTGTGTATGGTCTTGCAGATGTTATCTATGAGAAACGGTCTGAGCTTGTATCCAATGTGCTTACCAGGAGTACTTCAGCCAACACAACTGCTTCCAACAGGTTTGGTCTATGAACAGGGAAATGCAGTCTTCAGTCATAATGCAGGAACAATAGGCACATTCTCTTCAAGCACAAGTGCTCCTTTTAATGTTTCCAACCAAGCCACCATCTCAAATCAGCCAATTGTTGCGCCTCCAAATGCAAATACAGCTAATGTGGAATTTTCATTTGACTTTGAAGCATCAGCCCGTGCTCACTATGGGTCCTTCAGCCACTCTACATCCTCCAAGGTAACCTTAATTTAACAAGAAAAGATTTGTGAATTTGTCAGAAACTTGGATTGATGAAGCTACCTTCTTTTCAATGTGAAGGAAATCTGTAAGGAAGGCACGTCACAACTTCAATTAGAAATGAATCATATCGGGAACCACTCTTCATCAGGCGTGTCATAGTTAGCCAATTGTTCTCCAGAAACAGGATGTATAAAACCAACCATGACCACTGTATGCAACAGCCCCTTTTGTTCACATACCATTGTTACTACCGTACATCATATTGAAACTGATGATCTTTCACACTTGTTCTGGTAATTTTCTTTGAGCTATGATATGTTGACTCATTATGGGATTCAACCTTTTGATGTTCCTTGATTTATAGAGAAACCTCTTTTTCAGTTCCAAGTTTAGGTTCACCCAACCCCTCCCTCACTGATATCTATCAGTCATTGATATGTGTTACCATATGTTGAAATCAATGATTTATTTCTTGTGTAAATTACACGTAAGCATTTTGCTTGCAGCCAATTGGTTCAGACAACATCACATCAAACATACCATAAGAAATTACTATGATCTGAGATTTTATTGTAGGGTGTGATACGCAGTAAATTACTCTTATTGAGTATGCAGTGTGAGATTGACAGGATGGTTTTTATTCTTTGCATGGTAACTCATAAGTTGTCTACTTTTTTGAGTAGCCAACAAAATTAAAAATGAATTTAAAGAACAGATATTCAATTTTCCTCTCTGTTTTTTTGGTTACAGTAATGGAAGATGAATCACTGGATCAGCATTTCTTTGCGGGCTTGCACTAGCCTGAGCTGGAATTTTAGGTGGGTCCTGGAATGAATTTGGGGTATTCTGGAATAAAGGCACTTTTTTACTAAAGGTTGTTAGTTTTAATTGGCAATGATTATAAAAGCTGAAATAGGAACAAAATCTTCAGCTTTACCCGTTTTTGTATAAGAGAATCTTCAAAAAGCTTGATGAGTTACAAATGTGTGGCAGTCATTCTTCAGGACCTGAAAAATGTGTTTATGAAACCGAAACCTTTGTACCTTACTACCGTAGGGGTTTATATCATTATAATTCATATACGCTTGTTTATCTGTTTTTGAACCTCTGATTCTGTCTAAGCAAATTAACTCAGGAATGCAGCCATGGGAAAGCAGGAATTGAAGCTTTGCCCTGCAAAAGAACTGAAGCTTATATAGATAATATGATATTGTGAGAAGGGGTGGAAAGCTGTTTCTACGGCGTGTGTGGAAAATGGAAAAACAAAAACGGAAAGAAAATGAAAATTGAAATAACGGCCATATCATGTCTTGTGGTGTTTGTATTGTATGACTATGACGTGGGTTGGTTGCCTTGCTTGCCGTTTCTGGTCTTTTTATTCACTTGTTGCCCCCTGATTGTCCCATATTCACTAAAATGCCATTTTCTCATTTGGCCGCATCATTGGCACGGTTCTAGACAGAGACAAAAATGTTAATGTCATGTCCATTAAAATTATAAAGTATATTGATGACAATAATATTAAAATTAATATTAATTTTTATTTATTTATATAAATTGATGATAAAAGATATGTTATTAACATATGTTATGTCAATAATCTAAATAATTAAGTGATTATCTCCTTTCGTTAAAAATAAGAGATCTTAAATTTAAGTCGCATAATATGCATGTGAAATGAGATAAAGGATGAGAAATGATTATTTTTTATTATGCAATCAAAATAAAAAAAAAATATATAAATTAAAAATTTTTTTTCTTCCTTTTATCGTGACACATGGGGAATAAATAAAAGGAAAAGAGAAAATAATACAATGATCCTTTGGAATAAAAATACATGATTAAATTTTAAAAAATATTTTCCAATAATATTGTAAAAAATAACATATTTTGGTAACTAAAATGCTAAAAATAGTGATGCCAAATTTTAAATAATTTTAATAAATTGACACATAAAAAAATTAATTAAAAATAAAAAAAAATAATTCTAAAATTTCAAATATCAAAATATCTTTTTTTTTTCTCCTACAACATATGTATGATATGGCCCATGGGAGGACAGAATCGTAAATAAAGAGTGAAGAAAGGCAAATAAGGAAGAAGCCCATAATGTGGGACCCACAGTAGTGACAGGAGCTTTGCATCCGTTTTTCTTTGTACGCCAATTAACATAACGGCATAATCTCATGATTGTATTTTGGCCTATCTTTCTTGCAATCCCAAATCATCTCCTTCGCCACCTTTTCCCTCTCTGAAACGCCCTATACTGTAATCTTCTCGGTACCTTCTATATATTATATACACATCTGTAAGCAAATAAATACAGTAAATTCTAAGAGCTCAGAACCCCCTCTCATTCTGGTTATTGGTGTGTGACGGATGGTGAATCAAAAGTTGGTCATGAAACCATCCAAATTGTCGAGTTCTAGTAGTCCCATTGCGGATATGGAGGTAGCAGTGGAATCGACGGATCGGAAGAGAAATAGAAAGGGCGGAGTGAAGAATGGAAAAGCCATCGGTGGTAGTTGTGGGGGCGCTGCCGGAGATCAATTTGAACATGAGATGCACATATGGACGGAGAGAGAGAGGCGGAAGAAGATGAGGAACATGTTCTCTAGTCTTCATGCTTTGCTTCCCCAGCTTCCTGCTAAGGTAAATAAAACTAGCTCACAATATTCTACACCCTTAATTTACAATAATATTGAAACTTGAAAGATCCAGAACGAAATTTCAATTCTCTTTGAATTAATTTATTTATGCTTCCATTTTAATTGATCCAGTTTGACTCTTTCAGTGTTTGAGAAATTGAGAATTGTTTTTGATTTTTGGTATGAAAATGGAATGTGCTTTAATACCTTTGAGTTAATTTTGTAATTCAAATGATATCAATTTTCTCATTAATTGCATCAAAAATGGATTTTTTTTCTTAATTTTTAAATGAAAAAAAAAAAAAAAAATCAATCTCATGCAATGGAAATTGTTGTGGTTCGAACAGGCAGACAAGTCTAGCATTGTGGATGAAGCAGTGAAATACATCAAAACCCTTCAACACACTCTCCAAACACTTGAGAATCAAAAGATGGAGAGACTCAGGAGCGGGACAATCGTCGACTACGAGGCCTCAATCCTCACGACAACCTCGCAGCCGTCAGTACTAGCGGAATCGAGGGAGGCATTCTTGGCAGATCAGGTGGCATCGAAGAACTATTCAATGGTCGACAGTATGCCTCGGACGACCTTTCCCCTGTTTCGTTCTCCTGCTTGCTTTCAGACATGGTTTTCGCCTAATGTTGTCATCAATACCTGCGGTAATGAAGCCCAAATCAGTGTGTGTTCGCCGAGGAAGCGGGGGCTGTTGACAACCATCGCGTATATTCTAGAAAAGCATAACTTGGAGGTGGTGACTGCTCATGTTTCCTCGGATCATTATCGCAGCATGTACATGATCCACGTCCAAGTAAGAACCCTATATCCATGCAGCTATGCTTATAAAAAAAGTTTAACAGTTTTACTTCGAGAGACTTATTAGCTTAGGTGATACTCATTTCTCAATTACAATTTTGTCTTGTGAAATTGAACACACCTTAATCGGTACGTGCCTGTTAACTGTCTCTGGCAGCCAGCAATATTATGCGAAGGTTAGAGATGAACTTTCTTAAACTCAAAGACTTGTGCAGACGATGTATACGTGTTGCTACTTGTCTTAATAAAACAAGTAGAAATTTAGCAGTCGGTGCGGGACGACGTTGTCCTAAGTAGTATACTTTTTTTGGCCGACATATTTCTATGTTTCTACTGCATTAAATTAAATAGACAATGCTCTGACAAAATGGGGTTAATTATGTGGATCAGGCGGCTGGTGGAAGTGGAACTGATCAAGTTTCAGACACACACACACTATCGGTGGAGGAGACATTTAAACTCGCTGCTGGAGAGATGAACCTGTGGCTTCTTACATGTACTTGAAACAAATAGACAGACTTCATCTCAGAAACTGCTATTTTGGTAAGAAAATGGTACTGCATCAAATTAAATAAACAATGTACGTATATATTTATATAGAGTACTATGTTGTATTTATAAGCCTTGAACTCGATCAGATAATTAGCCTGGTCTTAATTTCTCTGCAGGTTCAGGAACTTGGAAAACTAGCTGTTTTGAGAATACATATAGGTCGTTTTCATCAATAATTAGACCCGTGTGAAAGCTTTCCTGTATATAAACAGAGTTTATACAGATAAAAAAAAGTGAAGCTTGGACCTCCCAAGTTTTTTCCCGTTATACCTAGGATGCCCATGATGAGGACTGTCTAGTTTGAATTAATTACTTGGTTTTGAATTGAAAGTTTTCATTTTCGAATAAACAATGATGTGTTGTTTGGAAGGAAACTTCACTTTCATTAGGGGTAGTTTAATTTGCTATAGCATTTTTTTTTTTTTGGTACATGAGATAATTAACTAGATAACAAAAGATAATCCTCCTTCCATTAATCTCTCTTCATTTTTAAAATTTGAACTCAAAATCTCTAATTTTAAGTTTCAAACTTTTAACCACTAAAACATCTCCTTTCATTAATCTATGTCCATTTTTAAAATTTGAACTTAAAATCTCTAATTTTACTTTTAACCACTTAAAACATCTCCTTTCATTAATCTATCTCCATTTTTAAAATTTGAACTCAGAATCTCTAATTTTAAAATTCTAACTTTTAACCACTTAAAATATCTCTTAAAAATATATATATATATAGGAATATTTATACAATTAACATGTCTGTTGTGAGACAATCTAATGGTTTGAGCAAGGCATTTCTCAAATTAAAAATTTTAAGATGAATAAAAATGAATTTAAAGAAAAAATAAAGATACAATTTTTGTAATTCTTTATTAAGTTTTGTAGGTTTGAGCTTTGTGAATTGATATAACACGTGATAAACTGATTTGAAAGCACCAATTTTCCTTCATCTCTACATTAATCTTCACAAAATTTTTGTATCAATTTTGCTTTTGTGTTATGTTATTATTATGCTAATTAAGAAATTAATCATCCTTTCCCCTTGAGAAAAAAAACAGGGATTGGGGAATGGTCGGTGGGCTGATGTGTGAGACAGATAGCAGGCCATGGGCCCAACTTGATGCTAATTGTTACCCAGTTTCTGTAGCAGTAAGACAAATGAAATGACACGTTAAATAAAAAAAAAATTACCAGTAGTAATTAAAATATTGGTACTAATTAAGCAGGGGAATGATTCTGACATTGTTTAATATGCTTGCCGACCTAGAAACGAGGATTACGAATCTTATTAAACGCACAATTAAAGCAATTGTCAGATCCACAGAAAAAGTCAAAGATCCTCACTTTCTTTATACACTGACTACTTAATTACTTGTAGTAATAATGCGACAAATAATAGTCTTGCTCTAATCCCAATTATCTTTTCCTTTTCTATTATTATTATTATTATTTTTGAAGAATTTTTTTAATTTATATTTTTAAATTATTGATTAAAGGTATAATTATTATATTTTTTATTATTAATATTTAAAAAATTAAAAATTAATTTAAAATATATCAATTATTTATTTAAATCATTTTACATTATATTAGTGTTAAAAATAAAATTTACTTACATAATTTTTAATATAAATTAATAATAAAAAAT